GTCCTTCTGCAAAAGCAATAGATGCATCATTTATGATTAAGGATTCTTGTATGCTTAGAGAGAGAGATCAAATCTTAGCTTGTTAAAAAAGAATTGAACTTTTGGTATTACCTACGGCAACCTTTGTCAACCCAGGAAGATCTATGAGTGTTAAGTTGACAACTGACAAACAAAACCAAACATATTGTAGTCATAAAAATTGACACAATAAACACATTAAAAGGCTTAACCAAATAGATGTAATGAATGTCAAAAAGGAAATCTCGACTTTGCCACAAGAGAACTAAGAAAAACAAGAATTAAGAGAATAAACATACTAATGTGATGAATGACCAATCATAATGCGCCAGCATACACAGTCACAAAGTTACATGAAATAGCGGCAGAGCCATATAAGTTCCGGGCGAAGAGGGTGCTGCCAAGGGGTGCAGAACACCCACCAGCCACCACTTTCCAGTCCTCCTTTAAGAAATTCTTGATGGAAGTACTCTATATGAAAAGCAATGCTCTTTTATGTTTCAAGTTTTAACATTTAATGATTCTGGTACAACCAAGTGTACACTAAACTAATTCGATAAGTAGAGTCATATTTATGGAAATTACAGTCATGATTCAGACAAGCAGTTCTATTCTTTGTTACATATACAAGAAAATCCAATTGTATTTGGCCCTTAATTCTTGAAAAACTAGGTGTTTCAACAGAGAAAGAAAAATCCAATTTCATTTTAGATGAATGAGATTCGATATTGAAAGCATGAATTTTGAGCTGTCCTAAGATGGGGTTATTTTTCATATTTTCACTCAAGGAAACACCAGAGAGAAGAGCAAACAATTTCTTGAGCAATATTTAATAAGAGTTGTATCAGTAATTCAGTATACAACAGAATGGAGAGGTTAGAATCAGAACTTCCATAAATGTAGTTAGTTTCATATATAATTGCAAGAAGAAGAAGAAAGATGCCCCCCATGTTTTATATTTCCATGAGTAAATTTTCCCAGTTGAGAATGGAACAGGTTTATAGCAAGAGCACAATTTAGTGTGCTCGGCTGAATGATCCACAAGATTCAACTGTGTATCAGGATAGAAATATAAGGTGTTACAGGGAATGAGTATAAAAATGAAAACCCAACGGTAAACTACTAATCCATGATTGTTAACATTAGTCATAAATACAGAATTTAACAAGAGTCAATATACCGCTTTGGTGAGGGTATGTCAAAAAGTGTTCATAGAACTTAATATTAGCAAAAGCATCAGAAGAGTGTGTGGACACAAATTATCCAAATAAAATCTTTCATGATTTTTAATTTTTCACCATTCTTGTTTAATAAATAACTTGCATTAACAAACAAATAGAATAACTCTCATTCATTATACAGTTAATAGGGAGGCAGAAGTGCAGACCGTGTGGAGAATATATGCTCAAGTGAATTGGAACATTAGATATTTGTTTTGTCTTCCCAGTTATTCGATCTGTTTCATCTGAAATCTCCTTACGAACGGCAGCTGCATAAACAGTATTCTCATTAATTTTTAATATTATAATCACCTGAATTTCGATAAATAAGAACATGAAAAGTAATGATTAATGAAAGGGAAAAAAGCTGACTGAATATGGAGCACAATCATATTCAAAGTAAACAATCATTATATGGAGAAGATATACTAAGAACTAGAAAATGGAAAGGATAATTTTGAGAACATTAATAGATAACCAAGTAAAAAGTCAAAATGACTGAGCATCACAATGGACAAAATACCAAAATCAGTGAACCTCTTCCTTGGCGCATGAAGAAACTCTGCATATTCAGTCCCAGATTCTAACTGATGAAGTTGCAACACCAATGGCCTCCGCGTAACAATGCCTTATAGTGCAAGAAATAAAAAACAAAAATTAGATTTTGAAAGAAGCATGCTCTTCAACATAACTAGCTTCACATAGCATAGGGGTAGGTGTCGATTTAATCATAATTACATTATAATAATAAACATGATTGTGGTGCATCAAATCCAATTTAATCGTGATTCATAACACCTTTCAAATAATGTATTTAGCAAAACTAATAAGTAATAACACTGCATTATAATTCCAACATCCAAGTGTTTTTTGTTTCTTATTTTTCAGTCTATTATTAAAATTCAAAATTCCAGGAGAAGAAACGAAAATTTACCAGATCCTCGAGGTAAGAAATCCCTTCCTACAATGCTCTCCAGAACCGAAGATTTCCCAGAGCTCTATTCTTCCATAAAAAATGTGTAAACATAAAAATTTAAAATAAATTATTAAAAAATAGATTGAATATGAAATTAGACCTGGCCACCAACAACAGCAACAGAAGGGAGAACTTCCCAGAGAGACATTCCTTGGCCGCCATGATCGCCAAGGACGGTGCACGCTCTTTGGATTTTGTTTATCAGCCCAATCAAGCTCGTCATTGTCGCCATTTTTCACCAAAATAATTGAGGATTTTGGATCGAAATGGATGTTAGTACGTCGGATCAGAAAAATTGGAAATGGAAATTTTGAAACGGGAAAGAAGGAGAGTAAACCGAAAAACGATTTTAACGGAAGTGATGCTTTGTATGGGGGAGTAGTACTCATTTTTACATGTTCAAGTTTTTTAAAGCTAAAGGTTTAAATATATAAATGGTCCCTATATTATTTTTAAAAAATAAAAATTAGTCCTTATATTATATTGTTACAAAATTAAATCCTTACTGTTTCTAATAGGAAATCTTGGCTCCTCATCTGATTTCATTCAACTTTACTATTAATTCTGACCCGACACCTATAAAAATATTTTTTTGAATTAATCACTAGTATCCAATCTATTGACCGACTAATTCAGATCGGGTATTGCAGATGCGAGGGCGACCCTCCCAACCCAGTTTGCTCCATTCGCAAACGTCAGGATTCTGTTTTAATTATTTACGTTTATAGCTTTTATTAACATGACTCTTAAAAAGGTTATAAATGTAGTTGATTTAAAAATTCTAATATAATATTATTGTCTAATTAATGATAATTTATTTTTAAAGATCCAATTAATAAAATAAATTATAAACATAAGACACTAAAAAATTATTTTTATCCTTTTATAATTGTGAGATCAACAGTTAACCATATAAACGAACAAAAGTTTGAGAGAGATCAAGATTTTCAAACCAAAAATAATATAGAAACTTAATTTCAAAAAAGTAAAATATAGAAACTAAATTTTAAATTTTATCGTAGTATAAAACCTCTAAAATATTTAAACCAAATCAAACGTTCAACAAAAAACCTCGGTTAAAATATCATCTAAGTCCTTGCACTCGTCATGAGCTTGGAGTTTAGTTCTCTTACTTTTCTAATAAAAGTATTGGTTAAATTACACGTTTAATATCCCAATTATCAAAATTACGTTTTTATTTTATTTTGATCATCAGTTAATAACGTGACATATTTTTTAAAAAAATTGAATAAATTCATATCAACCACAATGTCAATTTTTAAAATTGGAATAATTTGTTTTTATGAAGATAGAAAACGATGATCTTCTCATTTCCTTTCTTTCTTTTATTTTCTACTCAGTTTATTTTCTTCATTTTTTCACCCCTCCTATCCTTTCCATTTTTACACCACCCAACCATGCAAAGCCTAAATCATGGGGGAAAAAGATTAACCAAATTACATAAACACGTATAAGAATGTTCAAACAAAATTTTATATAATACAAATTATTAAGGATTTTTAAAAAAAAATCTCTTAATAATATTTGAACATGAAGAAATCATGAATGCACATATTGTAGTATCTGTTAGAAATATGGACTACAAAATCACACTGTTAACACTGACTAGAAAAATAAATAATAATTCAAAAGTTGAAATTGTAAACTGTGTCGTGGTAAAGATCATTGCCTTAGAAACGAATTCGACCCGATGTGTGTAATCGCTCCAATAGGCTTATCGCCCCCCGAGATTAACACGGTCGCTCCAAATTTCGTACACCCGAAATCGGAGTAGACTGCTAGCGGTATTGTACTTCTGATCGAAAAGTATAGAGAGAACAACTTTAGAAACACTAAGAGAAAGAAGTGAATTGTGGAGTGAGTTGAGAAGTTGAATTCAACTCTATATTTATAGGCTACAAATAGGGGTATAATCGTCCAACGAAAAATAAAATTAATATTGAATTTTAATTATGGAATTAAACTCTATTATAATTGTTAAAACGGCATGATGAATCTGACTCAAAAATAGTACATGTTCATTGCATCAATATTCAATTGTTATAACTCCTGAAATTAAATCATGCGACTCATTATATTAACAGTTTGTCTCTCCTTTGAACAAAACTAGAAATCAGTCCAGATATATCTTAATATTCTGATATAATTTAGAAAAATAACTGTTAAATTTATTTAATTTCAAACAACTAATTAATCAGCTGTTATCATCTGAAATATTTAAATTTAAACAGTCCTCAACAACCTATAAATATCAGATGAAATCTTTTGCATTTTAATTTGTTCTTTCAGAGAAAAATTCCAAAAGAACGAATTTTCACATTTTTGTACACCACGAGCCTAGCCGAAACGGACAGACTGCGACAGCAATGCGCTAGAATCCCCTTGTTCTCTATTACTCAACAAGAGAGTGGAAAATGCAAACTTTAAATACCCATTTTCAATAGTGTTTCCAACTCTATGTGGGATTGAACATTACCAACAGGATCTAATCCATGTACATTAACTCTCTCTTTTTTCCATTCTGTAAACGAGTAGTTCCCAAAATTATAACCAAAATGTAACCATCCAAAGAAAACAGCAAAAGAGAGAGAGACTCGATTATCATTCATTCCAGAATTATGAACGAAAGTCACCAACTATGAATGAACAACTCAAACCACAGATCTGATATGATTACAAATAATATTAACAAACTTGAAACACAAATCACACAAACTGCAGATTACAAATATGAACATCGAGAAAAGGGAAAAAAAGGATGGAGGGTGAATGGAGAGCTACCAATACAAACCGGACAACCATTGGCAACTCTAAAGAATGCCTGACCAAAGGTTAGCCCACAGTGAATAGTTCCTTATATCTGTTTTGTTTTTGGCTCATCTCTAGACATAAGAATAAGCAATCTAATGCAAATTTACTCCAAAGGCTTTTGGAATAAAAATTCGTCATCATTGAGTGCTGCGTGTTAACCCACTCCGAAATGCATTTCTGCATAAATTTCAGAACTTGTTAGCTCAAATCAACAAAAAGTAAACTATATATGTAACCGATGAAAGTAAACTAGCATGGTAACATTTATATGTTGGGAAGAAAAGAAAATTGATTTAACAATGTGGATCCTTTAGAACCGATCACTCCCAGTAAATCTATATATTGTCTTGCAATGCACACACTATACGATATCTTTAGAATGATTATGTAGCAATCACTGGTAAAATCTATAGAATATCTAGCTACGCACATTCTCAAAAGCTCTAAATTGAAGTGAACAAATAGAAGATAGGCAAAACAAGAACTAAATCGATACATACTCGGAGTTTTAACCAGGAAGATTATCTATAGAATGAATATGTAACAACTCCCAGCAAAATCTGTATAAAATCTCACAATGCACACACTCATACATTATAAAATGCAGTGAAGACAAATGAGAAGGCAAATCAACAACCAAATTGAATCATACTTGTCATATGTTCTACTACAAGAGTACAATCTTATATCTCAGAGATTAATTTGCCTTTTGTAAATATGTATACTTATTAGCTTTTACTACTTCACTTGCTTCACCGCACCATCCTCCCCTCTTCCCTTTTGCCAAGGACAGAATAGGAAACCATAAAAAAGTTTGGCAAGGAAAGAATGGGAAAAAAATGAAAAAGCGTTAATTTGATATGATAGATGGCAGTCTACACTACCACTTCAATTTGATCCTCAGCAAGCTTGGGCCAACAAGGTCACATGTCCCATATCTACTCCTAAGATGGAGCCCTTGAATGGTATAGTAATTTTGTCTATTAGAAACTTATCTCGTTTAATCACATGTACATTTAGAGCTATCATAACACTGCAAAATATTAAACAAGTTTGAACTTTGAAATCCAAGGCAAAAAGAAAATTAAAACACGTGAAGGGTTGAACAGACTCGTGACCATGACTCTAAACCCACAATCTTTAAAGGACAAATGCAATCAACTAATACAGTAACTAATTTTAACCAAGAGTTTAGGAAAATGAGGAACATTAAAATCTGAAAAACCATATAAAAAGAGCACCTTCCAGAAAGCAGCTGAGCAGCAGATCCCTTGGAGTTACCAACCCGCTTGGCCCTATTTTCATGTCCTTTCTCTACACGCATGGCAGTAACCTCTTTCTCCATAGCAGCTACTTCTCTTCTCATCTTTTTTGCCTCAACTTCCATTGCCTTTGTCAATGTTTCCACCTTCCTGGCGAGCATCTGAAAAATACTAGGATTACTAGAGCATTTATCCAGAACGATAAAAAAATGGCATCGAGTTGAAGGAAAACAAGTATTAACCTCAATTGCATCATCCTTATCCTTGAGGCTATGATCTTTCTCATGACCAGCTTTCCTCAAAGCCATGACCTCTTTCTGTAGCAAATCATACAAAACTCCTGGAACATTATCCTCTTTGTCAACTGGCTGGAAATCATCAGGATTTTCTTTATTTGGTGCCTCACACTCCTTGGTTCTTTCAGAAGGCTGGTTGAATGAAGTATCTGAGCCTGTTCCATTTAAAAGCATTTTGGCCCTGTCTAGTGATCTTGTTCCTCCGTCAAATGACTTTGATGTTCCTTTAGCATGCTTCAACACTGTACTAGAAGACAAAGAGGATCTCAGTTGAGAGCTCGTAGATCTCTTGGATAAAAACCCATTGGATGCAAGTTTTAAGAAGCTATCAGCTCCACCAAGAGACTGACGCCTTGAAGGCCCATTGCTCATGCATCTTCCATCTGATGTACTGCGATTGATACTACTATAAGATCCTCCTCTCAAGCTCTCTTCTAGAACTCTAAGACGCAATTGATATTTCTCCTGGAAAGTAAAGAAAAAAGGGCTCTTATTTCAAAAGCAGTAGCATCAACATAGACAATAGAATGCTAATTGTCAATATCAGATTCTTACTTTCAACTGAGCTTCAGATTTAGCAGTGCGCTCAGTTATAGCAAGCTTTTCTCGAAGTTGCTGCATTTCTCCCTGGAAGAAATGAAGTCCGAAATGAAAAGAAAGTATTATTTTAGGTGACTATAGTTTTAGTCAATAAGAGTAACTGTCCACAAAAACCTGCAAGACTCTTCGTTCTTCCAACCATTGTTTTACAGGCATCACTTTATCATTAGCATCTTTCCACTCATTTGCTACAACTGTAGCAACCCTATTAGCAGATACTCTTGCACGTGCCAGCTCTCGATCGAGTGTTTTTCTTTCCTCCTAAGGAACAGAGAAACATTCATTTTGAGAAGAGCTTTAAGACTATCAACAAAAAGAATTGAGCAAACTTGGGCACGTTACATTCATTTCCTGAACTTTCCGCTGGTAATCCCTAACAGCATTTGCAGCAGCACCGCCAGCAAGAACAGCCTCTTCCAGCTCCCTTACTGTTTGTGTAAGCTTCTCAACCTCTGCAACCTTTTGGCGATGCATTTTGTCCAAAATTCTGTTCTCTTCCTACCATACACAAGTTATAGATAAGTGACTTTCTTCATAAATAGTTTACAGATTATGCAAACATATATATATATGCATAAACTCCTAATGCACCTGAGAAAAGGAAACACCAAGAACGATTGGAATACCTGGCAAATTTCTATCTGCTTCATCAACTCCTGGTTTTTATTTTGGAGATCATCCACCATGGATGCTTTGGCCGATGCAACTTGAACGGTCCTTTCAGCTTCAAGTAAAGCTGCTTCTTTTGATTTAGTTAGACGATCGAGAGCCTTGTTATCATCTTGAAGCTTTGCAATCTGCAAAGAGAAGAAAAAGAACTAACAGTAAGAAACCAACACACAAAAGGTACATACAATCTCTAAGTCTCTTAATGCGACAGAATCAATCGTTCAAAAGAATCAAGAAATACCTCGTGCCGAGCAAGCTTCAGCTCAGCCTCCAAGGGTGCAAGAATTGCTTCAATTGGAGGCATATCATCATCCTTTTGAGCAGCATGAACCCTCCGCAAAGTGGCCTCAGCTGCAAATTGAGCAGCCATGGATGCCTTCTTCTCATCATTTATTTTCCTGATTTCAAGGTTCTGCAAAACTCGTTTATTAGCTAAACATAGCAACACAACAACCAAAAGTAATAATAATAGAAGAAACCTTCAAAGCAATACCCTGCTTTCAAGAAGAGATTCTGTCAATTTAAGCTTCTCCTCCATTCTTGATAGCTCATCAGTGAGCTATGATACAAAAAATAAACAAAAGACAAAGTCAGAATCCGTCTCAATCACAAAAATGTTACAAGAATTCCAAGTTGACATAAAACCGCATTTCGTACATATCCAAAACTGCAACAGTCCTGAGTTAATTTTATATTGAATAACAACAAAAGGTTGATAAACTAAATTTGATGCAAGAGCGTTGACAAGTTTAGAAGAGCCACAAAAATACAAAAAAGCACAAGTTTTCCTTGACAAGATTAGGGAGCAATTGTAATATACAGGTATAGCAAATCATGAGAAAAAGAGGGCAATTAACCATCAAACAGCCATGAGATCAATTACTACTACAAAAATATAAATGGAGGAAAAACATTTAATCTAACAGGAAAACTATGAGTTCTAGATTACAGGTGGACATGAAATCTTGCAACAGCTTTAACAATGAAAATCCAATAAGCTTAAGTGCTTAACGGACGGGACCTAGGCAACAAAACAAATGCAAAGCAGTGAAATTAATGCCATAATCTTTAATTTAAAATAAACACATACAGATACTACAAGGCAACCTGAAACTGAAGTTGGATAAAGCACCAAAGAAAGATTCATTTTGTTTGACGAGACGGCACATCACTGAACTTTCAGAACTTACAAAGCAACAAATAACAATGATGAAAATTCCACCCAACATGACTTTGACATAACAGTTAGCATTTCAGTAAATTATATCCCAAAGGCCAGGAAACCAACATTCCAATCATCAGAAGGAACATGGTTTCACTATCAGCCTAGTATTTCGGTTAGTATTTCTTACAGAGTTAAAACATGAGATTTTTTTTTCTTCAAAATAAATAAATGTTTTAATCCACCTCTTCAACAGCCTTTTCTCTTTGCCTTTCAGACATCCTCAATGCCTTAATTTCTGCCTGTGTTTCTCCCAGTTCTCTATCCTTATCTGTAACCAGTCCAACAAAAAAATGGAATGGATAAAATAAAATACGGTTAACTGTAAACTATATAACAGCTAAATTGGAGTAAATCAAAGGGGGGGGGGAAGTAACTAGATCGAGCCACATTTCTGACCTCTTACTTCGTTCTCCAATCGATTAAGCTCAACTTTCACAGGATCCGACCCGTGAAGCAACGTAATGAGCTCATTATCCGCATCGAAGCTAGGTCTAACAGCTCTCCTCCTCAACGAACCTTTCCCTCCACTCTCCTTGAACGACGCCGGCACCGTCAGCAGCGGAGCTACTCCCGCCGCGGTCGACGTCGTCCTCACCGGCGACTCACTCCTCCCATTGCTTCCTATCTCCGTCGCTTCGTCGGAAATCTCCGCCATATCCGATCCAAACCTTTCCTCTCACCACTTCTTCAAGCACAAAATACAAACAAACCAAAAAAGGGAGAAAAAAAACCCAAGACAGAGATTTGTTTCACTCCCAAAACTTGAATTAGATCCAAATGCTAAGATTTCAGAATCAGTTCAGATACAGCAGTTCAACAGATTTTCAGATACAGGTAACAATTAAGCGAGAGTGAGGAACAGAGAGAAATCAATGCTACTACTTTATTAGTATTATGTTTCTCTCACTGGATTGCTGGATTTTAAATCTAGTTACAGTGACAGTGAAGTGAGATAACACAGAGAGTGATTAGGCAATGTGTTTTTAATTACTTTAATTAATCATTGATGATATAATGATGTTGGAGAAATTACGTCTTTTAAACGGGCAAAAACAAAAAGGAGGCCTCGGTTTACTGGTTCAGGATAAGGGGACTAGTGGAGTGCAATGCGCATGGGGTTGGTAAATAGGCCCAGGCTCAAATATAAAGCCGTTGGAACGGCCTGGTTTTGGACAAAACCTTCATCAATTTGATAAGTGGGATTCGTATTCATATTTAATAACATTATTATTTAAAAAAATTATAATGTTTAATATTATTTTTATTTTAAAAAACTAATTGTAGGTAAAAATAATAAAATCTAATTTCCAAAATATTAATTAAAAATAATTGTTTATTTAAAAAATTGTATAATTTTCAATCAATTTCACTAGAAATTACTTTGTTTCTTATACCAATGACAATTAATTGTTGGTAAAATTAGGTGAATGAATACCAATTTTATCTGGAAGTTGGGTTATATTTTTTTTATGTAGTATAAATAGTAAAAGAAATTTTTATTTTTTTTAAATGATATATGTTTTAACTGTTGTGTATGTAGAATGTACATGTTATCAATAGATTAAAAAATCGAGATTGATGTATTTTTTTAATAGCTTGGAGCGATTATAAGATAATATTTTTTTTAGAATTTTTCTCAATCAAAAACAAAATATACACCCTACAGACACAGCTGCTCGAACATGAGTTCTCTAGCAACATTTAATTTTACCATTGAGATCACTCAATAAAAAGATAATATTTATATTTATTTAATTTCATTGATTTTGAGTGAATTAACTGAAAAATCAATCATAGGAGGAGAAAGATAAGTGAAATGTAAATATCTTAATATCGATTTTGTCGTAAAAGACGATCAGTGACATGCAATGATTGATTATTAACAATAACTAAAAAAAGATTATTTAAAAGTTTAATGATAAAACCCTCGTCATTTTAAGTATTAATTAATATATATATATATATATATATATATATATATATATATATATATATATATAATAAAAGAAAGAAAATTTTACCTGGGTACCTCTATTAAAAATTTATATTTATAAAAAATAAAAAAAATACTTTAATCTATGCATTAATAAATTTATAGTTTCGCTCCAGGTGACAAAATCAATACATCCTTAAAATTCAATGCGTAAAACAACGTTATTTTATCTATATCATCATAATAGTGGAAAGATATGTCTTTATCATCGTACTGTTAAAATTTAACGTTCTAATGACATAATTATAATTAAAATTCAATATTATAATTTAAAAAATTAAATGCTCAATTATAAAAGCGATATGCAACTTAAAGTTTAGTGATATATTACGTAATTTATCCTAAATACAAATAATAAATACAAATCACGACTGACTTATTATCACGAGAACCGGTCGGTGATTGATTCCATGTGTCAGACTAAAGCCTTCTTCCGTCAATATCGTTTGATTTTGCGTCCCAGATTTATTTGAATTGACGATCCTATCAAAGATTCGTATTAAACGTTTATTCCCACTAACGATGACAATGCAAATGTAATTAAAAATAACATCTTTAATGAGAATGTTATATATTAGTTCAAATGTTTTAAAAATATTAAAAAATTATCTTTTTATAAAATAAAGTTTGTTTTAATTAAAATCAGGAGTCAATTTAATAAAAAATATATCCAGGTATTAAATTCTGAATTACACCTTTTGTATAATCTAATATTATTTTTTTAAATAGATATAATATCAAAATGGAATTTCAATATTTATTAAAATAATTATTTTGATTTCTACTTTTTTATTTAAATATTTAAGTGATAATATTTTATTTTATGACAAAAACCCCTAATATTTAATATAATAGTCATTTTGACCCTTATTTTTTTTCTTTAGAACATTTTTATTCTCAATGTTTAATTTTAGAACAAGAAAAAAATATATTTTAAAGCGTTAACTGTACGTTAAATAATAATTTTCATCTAATATTTTTTTTATCTTAAAATAAAAGATTAGAATCAAAATACTATAGAAAAAATCAAAATAATCATTTTAATATTGAAAGTTGATTTTCGTATTATATCTTTAAAATATTTTTTCAAAATTCAGATATTTTAAAGTTAACCGGAAAATCCAATTCTTAATCAGATCTCTCAATCTGAGAGACATGCTTCCATGTTCTTTGTTTCTCCCCCACAAATTTTATGCAGCAATCACGCCTGAACTCCCTCCGAAACAAACCTACCCATAACCCATCCTCCATATTTGGAAATCCGATATTTATTTTTTATTCTTAAATCTCCCACTGCTTTCTCTTCAATCTCGTTTTTCTTTTTTTAGCTGGAATCTCTGATTTAAAATCCAATGGGGTTTGGGCCGGTTTTCAATAAAAAAAGAACCAACAATCCCCTAATTCAACAGCATCTCCAATGCAAACCCCGTCGAGAAGCTTCTCCCGAATCCATCTCCAATAGCTCGAAGAAGTCTTCAAGAAGTTCGACGCCAATGGCGACGGCAAGATCTCGTCGTGCGAACTCGGTTCCATAATGGGCTCCCTCGGCCAGAAACCCTCGGACGAAGAACTCCGAAAGATGATCAAAGAAGTCGACGCCGACGGCGATGGGTTCATAGATTTAGAGGAGGAATTCGTGGAGCTGAACACCAAGGGGGTCGATTCCAACGAGGTTTTGTAGGATCTGAAAGACGCGTTCTCTGTCTATGATCTAGACGGGAACAGCTCGATTTCGGCTGAGGAACTTCATAAGGTTCTTCAAAGCGTGGGAGACGATTGTTCCCTTTCTGAATGTAGGAAGATGATAAGTGGTGTCGATAATGATGGGAATCGGTTGATTGATTTCGAAGAGTTTAAGATTATGATGATGGCTGGCACAAGGTATGGTTCCATGAATTCTTCTTAGCCAGCAGTTCTCACTGTCGAAAATCGATTGATCTGAATTTTTTTTTGGATCTCTGCTTAATTCCATTTTATTTGCTTATATGGAAATTGTGTATACATTTTTAAGATTATTTTTAAAGAAAATTTAATTTCCCTAATTTCTACTGAATTGAATGGCTTTTTTGCAATGGTTATTTTAATATTACCGTCATGTTTCTTATGCTCATTTTTCTTCATTTACATATTTAGAATTAGAGAAAACGAAAATCAAGATGAACAATTTAGTTTATGACATCTAAAATTAATGGATTATTTTAACAGTATTAATATTTATCCATACAGTATGATTTGTAATACAGTAGTACTACATGAATGTAAAAGAGGTAGGATTCGATCACATATTATAAATTATTTCAGTGTTTTAAGATTATTGGATGGTAAATTGATGGTTAAGATTAAAAGTTAAAATATATTATTTTAATTTATATTTATTTAATGATCTTAAATCAACTTAAAATTTTAAGTTTTTTAGGATGAATTTTGTTCTAATTTAAATTTTGTGATGTACATGAACTTGGGCTGATTTTTTTGCAATAATACATTCGAACAAAATTTATTCAAATAGTACACTCGAGAGATTATTTGTTCAAATGTGGTAAATGCTACAATATATAACGTAGTCGCATTGGGCTCCTCGTGTCTCCCAAAGGTCGCATGGTTCCCCCCTCCCCCGGATCACCATGCAACTCCCCCTCTACATATAACAATTGCAGTGCATCTCTCCCCCAATTTTAGCTTTTTCAATTTTTTTTATCTAAACACTAAATCTTAAATAAAAAAAATATTAAAAAAAATATAAGAGATGCATTGTACTCTATGCGTCTCTCCCAAATTCATATTAAAGTCGTATTATACTCTATGTGTCTTAAACTGTATTGCAACAAATACCCTATTCTAAAAAATAATTTCAACCGACCATTATTTGAGTTAATAAAAAAATTCCAACACATTAACTAAAAATTTACTCCCATAAATTTGTATAGTACCTTATTCAAATTAGTCGAGTAATGATTAGATAATTATCAGATAACCATAATCATAAAAGGCGGATCCACTCTTTGATAAGAGTGTACACTAAAATTTGAATTTTTTTTTCAATAGTTATCTATGTCGTTGATTGTGTTAACTCTTAAAAATGTCCATAAATCCTTTATTAGTTTAAATCATCCATTTATATTTATTAAATTATCAAAATTCAATATATATTTTTAATTTTATATTATAAATAAATGCTACTACTCATATCAAAACGCGTCGTATAATTATATTATAAGCATCACTGAGTTTGAAACTCATTGTGTAATTTATTTCTGTATGCAGATTTTGATGATAAGGAATCGTCTCATTTGGAGTTACATCGGACCTCAAATCACAACGCAGCATTAGTAGTATAAATATTGTCATTTAACAAGCGTAATATCATGTACATAAACGTATTTTGATTTAAATTCCTTTTTAATATATTTGACAATATTTTGTAAGTAAATTTGAGAGTTTTAGGTTGCGTTTGGTTCACGGAATGTAAGATTACTAGTGGGAATGTAAGATTACCAAGGAATATGATTACTGGGAATGTTGTATTTTGTGTTTGGTTAGCTTAGCAAGAATGTAAGATTACCGTGTTTGATTAAAGGAATAAAAGATTATTGGAATGTATATTTAACCAAATTGTCATTTATATATTTGTATAATATTACAAGTTGAAAAATATTTATATATTTTCTTTAAAAAATTTAAATTCATAATATTTATATAATTTTTTTACAAAATTAAAAATATAAAAAAAGTTTAATGAAAGTGTAAAATTTTATTTTAACCCCTGAACTTCATATAAAATTTTAATTATAGATTTTTTTTGTAAATCTAAAATAATTTAAGGATAAATTTGTAATTTAACATTCATATAATTTTTATTATTCAATGACAGAAGAATGATATTTTTGAAAAAAAAATAAAATTTTAAGGGCATTTTAGTCCAAAATGCCGGTAATCCAACAATACCTAAAGAAAGGGAGGTAATGACATTCCCGGTAATATACCCCAAAAAATCCACTATTGGTAATCTTACATTACCGGGAATAGGATTCCTGGGGTAACCAAACGGGGGAATGTGGATTTCATTCTTATGGGAATCTCACATTCCCCCATCCAAACGCCCCCTTAGCGTTAAAACTATGTGTATATTAGGTTTTGATTAAATTGCACATCATATTAATTCTTATGGTTGTCCTCCTCGTTCTAAGATTTCGTCCTGAATAGTTCGGATTAATCAACGTCGTATATCTAATTTTGATGGGTGAGTCTCCCAACAATAATTTTCTGCATACACTTAACTTTAGTGAATGAATCTCTCAAACGAGAATTTTCTATATACACAAGGCTTTTAATTCGAAATCTACTTAAACAGTATCAAACTGCTTACCATTTGAACTAATATTGTAATCGCATTATACCTATTTTAATTTAAAATTTAGTTTGATATGAAAAATAGAAATATGCATAATTTGGTTAGACAAAGATGTATTTTGAGTTGAGAATAGCAGGAAAATGTCTTTATTTAAGATTTTATAAGGTCCAAATTCTTTGATAAAAAATAAATTAATGCGTTGAATATGATTTTAAATAATTTGTTTCATGTTTAAATTGTGTGAGAATCAATAAAGTATGATTTGAACATATAAGCCAAATTAAAATTTTCTAATCTTTTCTTATTTTATTATAGGAGTTTCGATACTATATAAAATAGATATCGTAACATCATTATAATTTTTAAAAATTTATATTTAATATAATATTTTATTAATAATTTTATAACAATTTAATAAATATAATAAATATTTTAATTTTTTGAAATTATAATAATAATAAAACATTTAGGCATAAATATTTTATATCTAGTATACTTTAACCGAAAGAAGAAAAAAAAATTGGATTGTTTATTACTTACTGTGAGATCCGAAACATTTTACATTTAGAAGTTGGAACACATGGCTGCTTCTAAGCTGCTTATCCCCACTCTCGCCCACTTCCGCCCACTAACATGCGCCGCCGCCTCATACTCAGCGCGGCTGGTTCCTCAACCACCGGACCTCCTCAAGTGGGTCAAGAGGGAAGGTGGGTTCGTGCACGAGGCAGTGACGATAGCGCAGGATACCACCTACGGGCTAGGCCTCGTCGCCTCTGGGGAAATCCCCAGAGGCTCTGATCTTATCGTCCTCCCTCATCACGTTCCTTTGAAGTTCCATTCAGACAAAGAAGACGCGGCTGACTCTGTCTTGCTCCATTTGTCTAACCAAGTTCCCGGTATGTTTTTTAGAGCCTTTTCACTTAAATTTTCCTTTTAGTTCTTTTTTGTGTTTTAAATGTTTGATATAAGTCCCAAAAGAATATTTTGTTTTGGCTCTTCACAGCATTAGAACTGCTGGTTGATTCCTTTATACTCCATGAAGATTTAAATTTGAGTGATTGTGTCGTGGGTTTCCTTAAATTTGGTGATTACAAAAGCCTAAGCTTATAGGAAGGGGCCCAACCATACGTCTAAGTTCTAACAGGTTCAAATAACTTCATTCATGGGGACGACTGATTCAATAAAACAGTGATGAATGACTAAGCACATAAGTATATTCTGAATAATTTAGCACATAAGTACATTCTGAATAATTTAGAGTATTATCAAATAGTATGTCACATTCAGAGTTAATTCATACATAGCTTTTGAATCATTCAATATTTGAAGTTAATTCATACAGAGCTTTTGAATTATTCAACATTTGAATCATTCAACGCTTAATCATTCTGAAGTAAACAAACAGCCCCTTAGTTTAAATGTGGATCATAGTACATAAATGCTTTAGTTGCTATTGTTTATATAACGGGTTTGGCAAACTGCTCAAGAGATGAATGGATTCATTTAATGAGCTGAAATGTAGGAGATTTTAATTATTCGTATGTATTTTTATTGTTTAATTCTAAATGCCTGTTATGTTAGTCTCGTAAGCCTCAAATCATAGTTAAATTTATATATGTTCTTGAGTTAGCTATTAAGCCTAGTATCATAAGGATAAAATGAAAGTCCATAGTTTCTGAGTAGGACAAGGAGTACTGTGAATGATTCATGAAGTCGCCAAAAGTGGTAGAGAGTGAGAACTGAGAAGTGGGAAGCATAACTTTCTCCTCCTATGAGTGGACCTCCAAGGAATCAAGCTATCCTGAATAAGTGAGATCAATCATGATTATCTATATGGAGAGTGATGGAGAAATATGTATGCTAAAGTGGGATGGATATTTGATCATTTTCCTGTACACTTATTCCATCCTAAGGGTGAATGATTCTTCTTGTATTTTTGTGTGCATTATTTTGCTTCTATGCTTGATTCAACCCCAAATTGATTCTCCCCGTGTCCATTTATAGTGAACTCTAATTATTTGTTTGCCAGTGCTTGATAGTTTTGTATTGTGTAAGGACATTTCGGACTCAACTAGATAAATTACATGAATGGGCTAAAGAATTACTTGAATTGGTTACTTTCTTGTTTACTTGGTTTAGAACTTTGTTTAATATACAAGGGTTGTAATACATTAGGTAGTACCATATATTACTGAGTGGAAATGCTCTTCAAGGCTATTTTATACATGCTTCTTTAAGTATGATAGTTTCCATTAAAAAATTAAATATTCTTAAGACAACGATCCAAAACTAGGTAGAGATGAGTAACAGAAAAGACAATACAACAAACCGAGTCTGTTTCTAGACATTATGCCCTATTTATTACCAAATCCTCACTATGCTAACTTGAAACAATTATTTATGTTCCCATCCATCTCCACACTGCTCGTCATCTCTTTATCTTGACGTGCTTATCATCCATTAAATCACATCTCTTGAGGGTTTTTTGTGAACTTATTTCTCTGATTTGTCCTTAAAGGGTGCTATCCTGACTTTTCTCTTGCATGCTTTCCTAATCTTATCCTTTACCATCATGCCGGTCTCATTAACCTTTTAAAACAGATTGGGAAAAAAAATGGCATATGAACATAGAGAAGGAAATAAATAAAATTATTGGAAATTAAACCCTTCAAGATTATAACAGATAATAGATTTTTAGGGGTTTGTGCATCAACTATAACTGATCGATGACTACTATGGTGTAGGGGGCTTTAAAGAATTTTTCATATAACACATAATTGATTTCTTGATATCATGAAATACTAAAATGATTTTAGTGAGTGGTGTCACGGAAATTTTCTTTATTCATATGGGTTAATAACTACCAAGTTTTGTAAATTGGGCCGATTAGATTTTTAAATTGGACTCTCTGGGAGCATTTGACAGAGGAACTATGGGCAATGAAGTTGGGTCTGAAGCTTCTACAAGAAAGAGCAAAGGTTGGATCCTTTTGGTTGCCCTACATCGGCAATCTCCCGGAAACTTACACTGTACCAATCTTCTTTGCTGGAGAGGATATAAAGAACTTGCAATATGCTCCTCTTCTTTACCAGGTATATATTTTCGTCATTTATTTTACTGGGTAGGAAATATCTTATTTTCTTTGTGTGGGTTTTAATTGTGGAAGCCACGATCGTTGCTACGCTAATGGTTTGACAGATCAAATAATTGTCAATATTTATATAGCATCTTCTTCAGGTTTCTCGGAACTCTTGGATGAAGCAGTAGCTACATGGCAAGTTAGTCAGATTCGGGGGGTTTCTTTTACACAGGGGAATGAAGCTTTCTTGGATAAAATCATTGAGCTGGAGAAAGGTTTGAAGGTGGCAAACTGAGTTGCCATTTTGGGGAAACTAGATTATTCATCAGTTTTTATGAAGGATAAACTAGCTATAATTTCATGGAATGTTAGGGGTTTGGGAAAAAGAGAGAAACAAAGAGCAGTTCAGAGATTAGTCTCCAACTATCATCCTTCTTTTCTTTGGCTACAAGAAACTAAAACAGAAAACATCCACATGTCTTTTTTGATAAGGAAGGGATTGAATATTTTTCAGGGGGTTATTGAATCTCCAGCTACTGGTTCTTCAGAGTGGTTATTATTTTGTTGGGATGAAAATGTGCTTGAAATGGAGAATCACAGTATTAACAGAAGATTCATTGCGGTTATAGGGAAATTCAGATTTAATCAGTTCAGAAGTATTCTCATTAATGTTTATGGACCCTCAGTGGATGAAGAAAAAGAAAGTTTTTTTTAAGAACTGAGCGTGTTCATTACTGGACAGGATCTGCCGGTTTGTGTTGGAGGGGACTTTAATGTCTACTTGTGTGAGGATGAGAAGGTGGGCAGAGCTCAGAACAGACTTTCTATGAGGATTTTCACTTAGTTTATTCAGTCAACAAGTCTAATTAATCTGCCTTTGAATGGGGGAAGGTTCACTTGGTGCAATAACCAAGATGATCCAACTTTTGTTAGGTTGGACAGGTTTTTGGTGGACGGACAATTTTTGGATGGTTTTCCCGAGATAATTCAGTCACTTATTCCTAAATCTATTTCAGACCATAATGCTATTCTTTTACAAGATGGCGGAGTTGATTGGAGGAAAAAACCTTTCAGACTATTTAATTATTTGATGGAGTAAGAAGGTTTTGAGGAAATGGTTTGTCATACTATAGCAGATTGCAAGAAGGATGAGAGAAAAGCTGGAGTCCTAAGTGTTTTGAAGAAGTCTAAGGTTGCCATTAAGAATTGGACAGGGCAGAAAAATCAATTTATGGGAGCCTCAATCTCAGATTTGGAAAGGAGAATTCACAAGTTAGAGGAGGACGTTCAGATGTTGCAGGACAGCTTGGTTCAGGGGAAAATCGAGGAGTTACGTAATTGTAGATTAGAGTTGTGGAGACTCCTTAGAATTGAGGAACATATTTGATATCAAAATTCCAGAAAGAAGTGGATTAACGATGGGGACTGAAACACTCGATTCTTCCATACTTGCGCTTCAGTTAGAAGAAAACGTAATGCGTTGAATGCTTTGTTAATTGAGGGGAATATTACTCATGATCCAGTTGTAATTAAGGCCACTGTTAAAGAGCACTTTTTTAATATTTTCAATAATCGGTCTACTTTGGATGTTGAAGACATTGGGTTGACGTTTTTTAGAATTTCTGTGGATCAAATCATTCTTTTAGAGAATGAATTTTCAGAGGAGGAGGTTTGGGAGACTTTAAAGTCTTGCGATAGTAATAAAGCTCCGGGGCCCGACGGATTGAACTTGGGATTTTTTAAAAGGTTTTGGTCTGTACTTAAAGGTAACATCATGCAGTTTTTTCACAGATTCCATAGGGGGAAAATTGGGAACATGGTATTAACCACACCTTTATCACCCTTATTCCAAAGGGTTCTAACATTAGAAGTTTAGATGATTATAGACCTATTAGTCTAGTAGGAGGTATATACAAGATTCTTTCCAAGTGTCTGTCAAGGAGGATTAGAAGCTGTATAGGAGATATCATCAGCCAATCACAATTTGCTTTTATACCCGGTCGGCAAATTTTGGATTGCTCCCTCATTGCTAATGAGGGCATTGATTATTGGAGGAAGAAAGGGCTAAAGGGTTGTGTTTTTAAAGTAGATTTCAAAAAGGCTTATGACACGGTTGATTGGCCTATCTTATTCAAGGTGATGGAAAAAATGGGATTTGGTTCGACTTGGATTAGTTGGATCAGGAAATGTGTCTCTACTGCCTCCATTTCAGTGTTAGTCAATGGGTCTCCAATCGAGGAATTTTCGATGGCCGAGGGACTAAGACAGGGGTGTTCACTTTCACATTTGTTATTTAATCTAGTAGGGGAGTTGTTGAATTTATTAATACTGCGGGCTGTTTCTGAAGGACTATTTTCTGGTTTGACAGTTGGCAAGGAGGAAGGGTCTTTCAAGCTCACACATTTACAGTTTGCTGATGATTTAATTATTTTCTGTGGAGCTTCGAAAACACATATTATGAATGTGAAGAGGGTGCTCAGAGTTTTTGAGGTTATGTCAGGGCTGTAACTTAACCTAAAGAAAAGCAGTTTGTTTGGGATTAATATTTCCCATGAGGAGGTTCAGACCTGGGCAGCTTCTATTGGTTGTTCTGTTGGGAGTTTCCCCTCTAACTACCTAGGTCTCCCATTAGGGGCAACTAAGAATGCATCTGCTATTTGGGAACCGGTGGTGCAGAATTTTCATACTAAATTAGCGGGTTGGAAGGCTGCTACACTTTCATTAGTAGGGAGACTGGTTTTGATCAAATCGGTTTTGTCCTCACTGCCTACGTATTTCTTGTCTATGTTCAAGATTCCAGTTTCAATCCTTAAGGCTCTAAACTCGACCATGTCTAATTTTTTATGGGGAGGGGGAAATGGTTCAAAGAAGATTCACTGGGTTAAATAGGATGATGTATGTAAACCTAAGAACGAGGGTGGTCTGGGAGTCCGGAATCTGACTAGTATGAATAGAGCATTGCTAGGGAAATGATTTTGGAGATTTGCAAATGAGAGACACTCTGTTTGGTGGAATTTTATTTGTAGCAAATACAACATTGATTCTTCAAGGTTACTGTTTGATAGCAAGGTTTCTCCTCAATCTTCTTGGCTTTGGAGATCGGTGGTTAACAATCATTACAAACAAGACTCCTTTGGCTCTAAGTTTCGAAGTTTGTGTAGTTTTTATGTTGGAAATTGTAAGCTTATTCGTTTTTGGCAAGATAGTTGGGTTGCAGATTATCCGCTTCAGTTTCTTTTTCCTAGATTGTTTTCGGTTTCTTCTAATAGATCTGGTAAACTTTGTGAGTTTGGGGAATTCCTTCCTTCTGGCTGGGTTTGGGATGTTCAAGTAAGAAGAAATTTAAATGATTGGGAGGTTGAACAATGGTGTAACTTGGTGAGCTTCATCTCTCCCTATTCTTTGTCTAAAGATTCCAGTGATATTTTACTTTGGAAAGGCAGTGGGGATGGTGTTTTTTCAGTCAGTTCTTGTATTAAAAGTTGTGCTTCAGGATCAGATGATGTTTGCTTTTGGAATAACATTATTTGGAGTGGTTTGGTACCCCCTAGAGTTGAATCTTTAATGTGGCAGGTTGTGCTTTGCAAGCTAGTTGTTAAATCCGAACTGATTAAAAGAGGTGTTCAAGGTATCGAGGATGATTTATGCCCTCTTTGTAAATTGGTTGAGGAAACTTCCACGCACTTATTCTTTACATGTTCGGTTGCATGGGCTTTGTGGTACAAATTTTATAATTTTTGGAGATTTAGTTCTGTGTTTCCTGCTGATGCAAAAACCTTTCTTACTGCTTGGGATGAGTTGAAATCAAATTCTTCTATTTGGACTTTCATTCCTGGTGCTATCATTTGGACCATTTGGAAGGCCAGAAATTTTATTGTCTTTGAAGGGGGAAACTTGATCAGTTAGAGTTATTTTTCTTATCATGAGTTAGGCTGGCTTCTTGGTTTCTAGCTAAGCATAAGGACGTTTCTATTCATAAGGATTCCTTGATTATGGATCCTTCATTAGCAGATTCCTACTCGCCCTACAGTTCTATGAAGTCTTCCTCATTCCCTTGGGTACCTCCCCCTTCTGATTTTTTTAAATTGAATGTGGACGCAGCCGTTAGTAGTGACTGGAAGAAATCGGGTATAGGAGGTATTTGGAGGGATCATTCAGGTTCAGTCTTAGGTTCTTTTCAAGAGTCAGCTGGTCTGTGACCTCCGACTATGATCGAACTTAAAGCTATTCAGAGGGGTATTTCATTATATGCTTCTGCTCAAGGGAGGGTTAAAGATAAGCTGATTGTTGAGAGTGATAGCAGGGTTGCAGTAGACTGGATCAACAATGTCAATTCATGCCCAGTTGTTTATGCTTTCGTTGTTAGTGATATAGTTGACAATCTTAGATTTTTTTGGGGGGGGTTATAAATTGGGTTGCTAGGTCAGCTAATATGGACGCCGATGCTTTAGCAAAGGCTGGAATAGGCTAATTTTTATGTTGTTTGCTGTTTCAGTTTAGCATTTGATTCCTGTTCGGGTGGGATTTATAGACTGTTGGAAGGGTTATTTCGAAGAGATTTATCGAGGTTGTAATCTTATTTTCTTTTATGAAAATCTAAGACGCTCTTTTCCTCCTTCCAATGATTAAGAAGCTTCTTTTCAAGCTCCATTAATCAAGAAGGAGGTTTTTAATGAGGCCTTCTAATCTTATCAAAAAAAAATTGTGAATTGAGAAGTGGTCAATGTTCACATTAATTTGTGCCATTTTGGGTGTACACTACCTTGTTTTTGTTTGCACATTTTTGTTGATATCCTTGGTTAACTTCAAAGTTGATTGTGGTTTTTACCCATCCAGGTGAACAAAAGGTGCCGTTTTCTTCTGGAGTTTGAGCAAGAAGTAAAAAATGTTCTTAAAAAGCTCAAACCAAGTGAACATCCTTTCAGTGGCCAAGATGTAGATGCATCGTCCCTTGGATGGGCAATGTCAGCAGCCTCATCCAGGGCATTTCGATTACATGGGAAAAAGCTTACCGATGGAACCCACAGTGATATCCCAATGATGCTCCCTCTGATCGATATGTGCAACCATAGCTTCAACCCAAATGCCCGGATTTTGCAAGAACAAAATTCTGGGAATCCAAATATGCTAATAAAGGCAGGCTTTTGTCAATATATTATCATTGTAATCTCAATCGATTTTAATTTGATGAAAATCCAAACGTCGTGATAGATTTTCTCATACATCTCTTATCAGGTTGTAGCTGAAAAGGAGATCAAACAAAGTGATCCTTTACTTCTGAATTATGGCCGTCTTAGCAATGATTTTTTCCTTCTGGATTATGGATTTGTTATACAGTCAAATCCGTATGACCATATTGAGCTCAAATACAATGGGGCTCTTATGGATGCTGCAAGTATGGCGGCGGGTGTTTCTTCACCCAATTTCTCATCACCAGCTCCATGGCAACAAGAAGTTCTGTCTCAGCTTAATTTATTTGGGGAAGCTCCAAATCTCAAGGTTATTTCTTCCCTTCGTGTACATTAAATAGTTGTCTTTCGGATTATTTTCAGTAACCTGAATTGTAAATAAAGTAATGCCTAAACAAAACATTGGTCATTTATAGTAATATTTATTGCCCCTTTTGCTTATTCCTAATAGGTAACCATAGGAGGTCCTGATTTGGTAGAGGGGCGCTTATTGGTTGCTTTACGAGTTCTACTATCGAATGACATAGAAACGGTGCAGGGGTACGATTTTCGTGTCCTAAAATCTTTATCAGCTGAAGCTCCCCTAGGAGTTGCGAATGAAGTAGCTGTGTTTCGTACCATTATTGCACTCTGCGTGATTGCACTGGGACACTTCCCAACAAAGATAATGGACGACGAGTCTCTGCTAAAACAAGGCGTTTCCGTTTCAACCGAGTTGGCATTACAGTTCCGGATGCAGAAGAAATCCTTGATTATAGAAGTTATGAGAGATCTCACCAAAAGAGTAAAGTTTCTTTTATCAAAGGAGACAAGTACTGCATGAGGCTAAATTTCTTATGGTGTAGCATCATTCAACAGCACCTTGCTCCTCCTTTGACACCTTCTTCTGGTTATAAGGTTCTCTGCTGGATTTAGCAATTTAACTTTTTACATCTATGGTTAAATTTTTGACTAGGAGTTAAAAACAGATAGGTAATTTGATATGAGATAACTATCCTCGTAAGCTATTCGAGTTTAACTCGCAATGAACTTGAACTTGGTTCGATTGTTGCCAAATTGATCTCAACACGATTTAATATAGTTCTCTGCAACATTAATAAATTATCTTCTTAATTTAAGATGTTCATATTTGACACTTCATCAATGCTACTATATCTCCTATTTTTATTTATTTCACGCTTGGGAATTTAATTTTGGATTAGTTTTAATATTCAGCATCTAAAAATAATGTCAATGGAAGCAAGATGTTCATAGTTACACCTAATTAGTAATTGTTAGTTAGGTCTTTATTAATTAGATCAATTTGACATTTATCATTTAATTCATTTATATATAAATAATATTTATACATTGAATGGTTATTAATTTGGATATAGTGTCTACATTCATTTCTTAGTTCTTAACCATGCTTCAAATAAATTAATATTGTTTTTCCATTGAGGTATCTAAACTATTTTTTCGGTCAATTGTTATAAACATGATCATTTTAAGTGCCTTAATCGTAACGGCTGTTACGAAAATCTTGGGTTTTTTTTTAAAAAAATAAAATATATTTTTTAAGTTTTTTTATTTTGAATAAAATTTTTCTAAATTACCAAAACATAACACATGTCACTTAACATAATTTTTAACATTATTATGGTCGAGGTACTTAAAACAATAACATTTGTAAATAACTTTATGGTCTATGAAAATTCTCTATGACCCACATTGACTATTTTAGAGACGAGTAAAATTCTCAAAATTTTAAAAATTAAAGTTCTCAACATCCTTCCATATTTTATTTTTATTTTTAAATTTGAATCGAATTAAAGTTCTCAACATCCTTCCATATTTTACGATTTGTTAAATAAAATAACATCATTTTATGCACCTTAGAAATTATGGTATACTCTTAGAAGTTTGGGTAAGGTTGAAGCTGACTGGAAAGATTTTTGAGGAGCGCACAACATAAGTTTATTATGTTTTTTTAAGATATGTTTAATAGTATATATTATATATAATTACATGATTGTATAATTTTAAATTTTAAAATAATAAAATTATTATATGAAATATTTATTAAAAAAAACCCAACATGACGAATAATGCCAATATATATTTTATTATGCCTAAAATTTATATTACTTAACTGTTTTTATTAAAATATCCAACTCCCAACCGTTTTAATAATGTCTGATTGTTAAATTGTTTCATTCAAATCAAGGCTGTTGTCTGGGTCACATGGAATACTAACTGCTACATTATTAAATAAATAAATAATTTGGAAGATTCCTCAAGTCTTTCTGAATTTGTATATGTTTGAAGTAGTGAGTGTTACTAAATAATAATCTATCGATGTGGGATCTTGTGCGAGCTCTACAATTTCAAATCACCAAGTCTTTGCTTATTTATTGCCCATCCAATTCAATATAATATATTGAATTTCTAATTATTTCTTTATGTATAATCATTCTACTTTATTTTATTTCATAGAAATCAAAAAGTTAATTAAATTAGATTGTATTGTTCAGTTATTAATTCAAAATTAATAATCCAACCATTTATATGTTCTGAATTAATAAAATTTAATAGTTTAGTAGTCTATGTATAATAAAAATCAACTGAAAAAGATGGGGATTGTTTATAATAAAGTGATGAAACAAATTTTCTAAAGATAATAATAATCGAGTCATTTTCTATTAATTTAAAATAACATATTGATTGCGTGCAACGACACACTGTAGTTACTCTTTCGACGAAATTGCTGAATAAATGCTCTTTTAAATAAAGTTATGGGGTTTTGTGTACTAAAGTGATTAAATAATTATCTGTATTATAGAGCATTGTTTTGTTGATTTTCTGACTATAAAAAGTTATAAAATGATTATTTAACTATTCATATGTTTCAAACTCGTATTTTTCTTTTAGAAATTATGATCTTCTGAGCGGGATGTTTACTTATCGACTTGAATATGATAAAATTTTATCTCAGAACCGATTGAGGTGTATTTTATGGATTAAGTCTCCATTTATATTATGTCGTCGAGTTAGTGTTTCAAATATTATGTAACTGAGTCGGTGCTTGAAAGCAACGGTGGTGCCCATGGACGTCATTAAAATGTAAATTTACCCTATCTCAATAAATATGTTAAAGCCCAACTCAAACGGCCGTCAATTTTTAACAGAAAATAACGAGTTTGAAATATATAAATAGTTGGTAAACACGTTCATGTACAAGTGTGACATGTGACACGTCACGAGGCCCTAAAATTTAGGGGGCTCACACATGAATATCATTCAGGCTCGTCCAACTATAACCTTTGTGCTCTAACGATATTGTCGTTTGAAGGGGAAAAACTTTCTATTTGGTTCTTAGGAAAGTGGTAGAGAAAGTTGCAAACGAATATTTTCATAGTATCTTTAATTGTTTCCAATGACGTATTTTGATAATAGTACCTTATAGATCCCTTATAATTTCAAATTTAACAATTTAATCCTTATTATAAAATATTTTAAGAGTCTCATTTTAAAAAGTAACACTGAGCCCACACATTTTTCGAGATGAGCTTAATAATCAGATGATCATTTTGTAACTTTAATAGTCAGTAGACTTAACAAAACAACATCCTATAATTGAAAGATCATTTTATTACTTTTTGATATTCCAAGATTAAATAAAACAACACATATAACCGATAAAATATTTGTGTATTTTACCGTTAAATAAATGTAATAAACTACCATGTCAAGAATTATGATGCATTATATATATAATGGAAAAATCCCCGAATCTTTCATGGCATGCTTCTGCTGAATGGATGGGATACGTCAATAAAGAGCAAGAGTCAATTAGGGAAGCCTTTATTAATTTAAATAAATAAATTTAAAATTTTAAGGATAAAATTTAAAAAATTATTTAAAAAGTTCAAGTTGATTAAACGAGTAGTTTAACCTTCGTTTTTTTAATATTGATATTTCTTAAAAAGAAAATCGAACTTTGTAAATGAAAAATAAAAATAATCATTATCTCATAAAACTTGATATAATAATAATAAAAATGTTAATGTTATGTGTAGTCTTATTTTCGAAATAGATCTTATAATTATATAAATTAACTTTAAACATAGACCTTGTATGTGAATGAGAAATTTCATCCCACAGGAATATAGGCTAGAATCCGAGGGAAGCCCTACAGAAGGGCGTTGGTCTCTTATAAAATAAATGTGTACCTAAAAATGTCAAGGTTCAATGTTCTTTGAACTTTGCATTAAATTTCTTCAAAATTTTAAGGCCTACTTTGACATTATTATTTTAGAAAACGTTTACTTTTGTGAAAAATGTGTTATATATATATATATATATATATATATATATATATATATATATATATATATATACTCTTGAATAAAAAGTTTCATAACAATTCATACTCTTTCTCTTAGGGTGTTTGTTTCACTGAATGTGTGATTATATTTGACTTTGAGAAAGTTATACCACATTGTAGTTTATTTTCTAGAAAAACAAAATTATAATATTTAACTAAAAGAATATACGATTATATAAAAGTAAAATTTACTAAATTATCTTTTGATAAATGGTATATTAATAATATATATTGTATATAATTAATATAATATTTTAGTATATTTAACATATGATTAACATAATATATATATATATATATATATTGTCTATGGCCAGAGACGGAATTATGATTAAATATTGATAGAGATGTAAACTATCCAATTTCAAAATAATAATGACTTATTATGTATTTAATCTAAAAAAATAGAGAGAATAAAAATTAAATTTTATTTAAGTTTAAACTGATAAAAACCTAAAATATTATTAAACCAAAAATTTACGAGGGGGTAATAGTATCACAGTATTATAAATATGGGTAAACTACGCCATTCTCACTGAAATATATTATCTCTCCTATTTTACTCATTGCACTTTCATTTTTTTTAATTTATTCACTGAACTTTCAAATTGCTCCTATTTTGATCACTATAAATTATTTTATTATTATTTGCACTTTCATTTTTTTAATTTACTCACTGAACTTTCAAATTGCTCCTATTTTGATCACTATGAATTGTTTTATTATTATTTATGTATGGCGTGATATTTTTTTATTATTTAACTAAAAATAATTAAAATAATTAAAATATAAAATAAAAACAGAAGGTGGTCGGATACCACCGCCGACCACCGTCGATCGCCGTAAATGGTGGTCGTTCGATCCCAAATTTCATGGGTCTTGTTCGTCTCAACACCTTGAGTTCGAATCCGCCCTTTATTTATCGAAACTTGTTCCGAAGTCCACGAATTGGATATCGAAGTGAGTAAGCTGAAAAATTTCAGTCGAGATTCATGAGTTTTAGGACTTTTTTGGTGAAACAACCATCAAATTCGGATTCAGGGAGTCGAAACGAACAATACCAATGAAATTTGGGACCGAACGGTCACCATCTACAACGGTCGACGGTGGTCAGCGGTGGCGTTCTACCACCTTCTGTTTTTATTTTATATTTTCAATTGTTTTAAATTAAATAATAATAAAAATTTCATGTTATACAGAAATAATAATAAAATAATTTAGAGCGATCAAAACATGACCAATTCAAAAGTTCAGTGAGTAAATTAAAAAAATTAAAAGTACGAAAAGTAAAATAAGAGAGAGAGTATAACTCAATGAGAAACAGTGTATTTTATCTGTAAATGGTGGTCGTTCGATCCCAAATTTCATGGGTCTTGTTCGTCTCAACATCTTGAGTCTGAATCCACCCTCTATTTGCCGAAACTTGCTCTGAAGTCCACGAATTGGATATCGAAAGTGAGGAAGCTGAAAAATTCCAGTCGATATTCATGAGTTTTAGGACATTTTTTTTGTGAAACAGCCACCAAATTCGGATTCAGGAAGTCGAAACGAACAATACCAATGAAATTTGAGATCAAACGACCACTCTCTACGACGGTTGATGGTGGTCAGCGGTGGTGTCCTGACACCTTATTTTTCATTTTATATTTTTAATTGTTTTAAATTAAATAATAATAAAAATTTCATGTCATGCATAAATAATAATAAAATAATTTAGAGCGATCAAAACATGAGCAATTCGAAAGTTCAGTTAGTAAATTAGAAAAATTGAAAGTAGGACGGGTAAAATAAGAGAAAATATAGTTTAATGAGAAACGATGTATTTTATCTTATAAATATTTATAATTAAATTTAAATAAACACTCGAACAACTAGACTCGAATTTTACTCTACTCCAATTTCATAAACTCGACTTGACTAAAAAATTAAATAAAATTAAATTTATAAAATAAGATTCATTAACTTAAATAACTCAAATTTTTAACTCTACTGGTTTAAGTTGATTGAATACTCACTCTTAATATTTCAAATTAAATATATATGTTTTAAAATAAATTATTGCTCTCGATAATATTTTTTCTTAAAAAAATAAACGAGATAAGATGCTCTGTCACGTGACACTGTTCCATAACAGTCAACCGCTTTTTACATCGGATCCCATTAATTAATTTCTTTGAGAAAATGTAGTTAATTAGTATCAGAGATTATTCATAGATAATAAAATATTACTTACTACGTTGATTATTTCAATTAGTTAATATTTTTGGTGCAAAATTAGTTAATTGGTTAACTAATTAATTAATATAGTGTCTCTATCATCTTCTATAAATAACCATTTTGTTGTTCCATTATCTTCCACTCATCCTTCAGTGGCTAAATCGCCATACATTTTCTTTTGCCTTTCTATGGCTTTATCCAACTAATTGTATCCCAAATTCTCATATCAGAATTTTTTTACATCGAAGGAGCAAGATTCCTTCGTTGGATTATCGCTTAAATCCAAGAATTTTCTTAAATTTCCCTCGGGGTTAAGCTTGTTTGCTCAGATTCAAGAATCTTCACAAATTTTGCTCCCGGAAATTGTTGTTTAAGTTCTTATAGTCTTGAACTTTTCTGGGTTTTGAACCGTTCTTCGTTTGATTCTTTCTTCCATCTTCTTTGACCATGGTTTGCTTGGTTTCTCGCACGGGAAGGCACCTGCAGCGATACGATAGCCTCGGCCGCCGCCAAGTTGTCGGGTTAGTGAGTGGGTCGTCCTGTTTGGGACTTAAGGTCTTTTTCACGATGAAGATTTTACTGAAATTCCTTTGGGGCGGAGGGATTTGTTCTTTGAATTCGGGGCTTTGACTTGTCTTCTTAGAAAACCTCATAAATTCATAGTTTCCATGAAAACGGCTCATTATTTTCTTCGATTTTGATGATTTCCAGGTGCATCCCGTACAGATACAAAGTTAACACTGATGGAACTTTGAGCAATGATTTGGAGATTCTTGTAATCTCCTCACAAAAATGCCAGAAAATGATGTTCCCTAAGGTATTACTCGGATTTAATTTCATATTATAAAAATCTTACTTCCGAAGAAGAAACTATACTTAATCTTATATAGCAATCTCTTGCTCTTAATCATCAGGGTGGTTGGGAACTTGATGAATCTAGAGAAGAAGCTGCTTTAAGAGAGTCAATCGAAGAAGCCGGTGTTATAGGCAAGGTTGAGGTTGGTATCATGATTAATTGAACTGTCAAACCCTGTTCTGAGATTAACCCTGAACTAATCATCCATAATTCGAAAACACAGTCCGAACTGGGGAAATGGGACTTTTTAAGCAAACGCCATGGCACATTCTATGAAGGTTACATGTTCCCTTTGCTTGTCAAGGAGGAACTCGCTTTCTGGCCGGAGCAAAATCTGCGAAAACGAACTTGGGTAAGCTATTCAGATACGAAGATACGTTCGATACGTATATGTTCAAGTTCGATTTCTCGTATATTTGACGACATATTTTCATATTCGCATTCGAATGTGTGTCGGACATAGATACCTCTAACCTCTCTGTTAATACATTGTTTAGATGAATGTGAAAGAAGCAAGGGATGTGTGCCAACATTGGTGGATGAAGGAAGCCTTGGACATACTGGTTGAAAGGCTGGCCTCCCTGCAGCAACAAAATATCTCAAGTTGTTTGTAGATAGGGCATTCTTAGCCACTTATATTACTTGGCTAAGGTTAATGTGTGGAGCACGAGTACATTCGAATTTTTTGAAATCTGGTGTGCCCAGATTTTTGTACTCGTGCTCGAATTTGTTCAAGATGTATTAGTAATTCATATGGAGAAATCTTATGAATTACGAATTAAGATCTAATGTTCAAGTCTTATCATGTTGTAGATCAGGTTTTTTCAAATCTATTTTCGTCCATGTCCAAAAATATGTTGATTATTCGAATATGTGATTATGTGTATGATTGTATTTGATGGTGGTGGGTTTTGATATATGATTGTATTATTTGTAACTGCAATCACGATGAAAGAAAACACTTTATCATATATAATAGTTTTTTGAAAAGAAATTCAATACATACCTATGCATGTTTGTTAGTCCATCTATAAATTACCTTTCCTTTATTTATATTTTACATTTCATCAATTTAACAACTTTCAATAATGTTGATGAGGTATTGGCATGATTGTTGGTCCATCCATATACTTTATTCAACCAATGAGATTTAAATTTTTTAGAAAGTTATATTATAAATTTAAAAGATACGGAATTTAAAATTTTAAGATTATAAAATAAAACCAATAATGAAAAATACATACTTCGATTATATGAAAATTTAAAAATTTTAAGAGAGATGGTTGTTCTCAAACTATCCTCGGTCCATTTTTGAAAGGAAATGTTCGTTGATGGCAAACATTTGGTTTGTGTCGATGGTAGAAGGTTCACCCATTTTAGTTTGGACAAATAATCGCAACCAGTGATTCATGATGATTTTACATACGATCAATGTCGTTTGATAAAAAAAATACCAAGTGAAAGAAGAAGAAGAAGAAAGAGATTGAAGATGTCCACCTACTCAAGTTTTATAATAACATTTAGTGTTGGTGTCAGATCTAGAATCATGATGGTTACTCATAGGTTATGAGACTTAATCGATATAGTTATCTAACAATAGACTTAGTTTTAAAAGTTCATATGAATTTGTCGATTATGATATCAAATTTTATATAAAAAAAACGACTCGAGCTAAAACGAAAGACTTCAAAATCTGTGATATATAAAAGACCCTCCTCAAGAGACTCATCTCGTTCCGAAATCACTATGAAGTAATTATGAAGTGTAAGAAGGTTGAATGCTTAAAATGTGAGATCTTACATAGCAACGGAATCATATATCCCTGGTAAGAAGTAATGAACCTTTTTCTCTCTCTTCGGCTCTCACATATGCCTTTGTAGCAGACTTTGGAGTTTCATCAGACAATTGTAATTCAGCACGCAACCAAATACTTTAACTTGTAGTGACGAAAAGAGTACGTTGATGAAGAAAGGATATATCCCGTTTTAAGTTGATTCATTCATTCACATGAAACTTCAAAATAGCTTAAATCCAAATATTATCAGTAATATAACTAAATTATAAACTAAAATATGTAACTCTGTAACCATATATTTTGAAAATTCTTTTAAAATGTGGTCCCACTTTGCTACATTGTTTGTTATACGTGGCAATTTTAAACACCAATTATCTATGTTATCGATATGGGTAGGGATGAGAATGAAACTAAGATAGGTTTCGACCCGACCTAACCTGATCGGGTTAGATTTTTTTTAAAAAAAATTGAGGTCGGGTCGGGTCAGGTTTTTTAAGTGTGATATTCGGGTCGGGTCGGGTCGGGTCGGGTTTAGGGTGAAAAATATCCGACCCAACGAGAAAAATATATATAATTTTATCTTATATATTTAGAAATAATTACAATAATACCCCTCTATATATAATTTTTTTCAATTAAATCATTGTTTTTATTGAATAAAAATATTTTTTTATTATTTTAGGTCGGGTCGAGTGAAACCTTTTTTGGTCTGTTCGGGTCGGATCGAATCTCGGGTGTAAACTCCCTTGTTATCGTGTCGGGTCAGATATACCAAAAACCTGACTCATGTCCATCTCTAGTTATAGGTAGTCATTTAAAACCCTCCTCTCTTGTCATCCAAACATTAATTTCGAGTTCACTTTTCTAACAAAAAAAAAAAAACCAAAATATCAATCCATCTACTATCTTTAAGAGTTAATATTTAATAAAATTAAAGTCCAAATTTTCATATAAAAATAATAATAAATTTTATATTTAAAGTTAAAATCTTCATATTTATCGAATTTAATTAAAAAATTAAATTTATCATTTTAATTATAATATATTTTAAGAAATAAAGAATATATAATCTCTACGTTTGTCTTTCCCATGACCGAAGGAAACTAAAGTAGTCATAAATGTGTTATTTTCCTATAGTTTATTATTAATATAATTTAAATTTTTTGTTTTTTTCCCAATAATAGTAATAATAAAGTGTACGTGGAACCGTGATGGAGAGATGCGTGTGGCTTTTCCAGACAAAGCGCAAACGCTTGCTTTTGATTGCTGCAAAGTGAAGGCAGCCGCGAAAACTATCTTTTTCCAATTTGTGTTTCACATTTGGGCAGTTTCGGTCATTTGATTTTGATGTACATAAAAGGCTTTTGATTTTATGCTCAAATTATGTATGTAACATAATGTTCGGATTCAAAAATTTTTAAAAAATATATTTTTTATTATTGAAATATTTAATAAATTAATAATATGTTTATATATTAATTATAGTAAATATTTATATATTATTTATAATTATAATTGCAGCTTATATTTGTAAATTAAATTTAAAATAGGAAGACGGTCAAAATCTTTATTTTTTATTTATTGCATCCAAGACGCAATTAAAACCATGATTTTCAGAAATGGACTGGCCGTGCTATTAGTTCACTGGTTAAATTGGTCGAATCGGTCGTAAGAACCGAACGATGTCATAATTATTTAAAAAATTAAATAAAAATATCAAAATCATTTAATAAAAAAATTTAGGTTGAACCGGTTCACGGTCCGATCCGGTTCAAATAGTTCAAAGCCGGTTCAAGCAGTTCAAAGCCGATTCGAACGGTTCTTTGCGGTTCACTAGAACCGATTCAACCGGGATAGAATAAACCGGATCATGCAACGATTCTCGGTTGAACCGACCGATCCGGTCCGATTTTCAAAACACTGATTAGAACACAAGGTATGTATATAGAAAAATCTTTTTATATATAGAAACCATCCAAGTTGCAAGGAATAAAGGAAAAAGGAAAAGCTAGAGAATCAAAACTGTTCCCAGTTAACAACTTTTCTTTTTATATATATAGGAAAATCTTCTTCTTCCCATCTCCTTTGTACGTCTTCAGAAATGGCTTCTTCGTTGCCATCCAAAGATTTTCAGGAGGGTATGTATACATGTACTGCAAATCTTTTCCGTTACTGAATTCCCATAACTATAAGAGAACCTTGGGGATATGCAGGAGCTGTTGATTGTGAGCCTGAAAACGTTCTGCAAAAGCATGTTGCGTTCTTTGACAGAAACCATGATGGCCTTGTTTATCCATGGGAGACTTTTGCGGGTATTTCTTCTATTAATTCCTAGAGAACTGCTGCTAGTTATTTGAATTCTTGTTTTTTATAGGTTTTCGAGCAATCGGGGCTGGTTATTTGTTGTCGTTGATCAGTTCTTTCTTCATCAACGTTGCTCTCAGTCGCAAAACTCGCCCTGTAATTAGCTCTCACCAATTCTTTTAAATTATTTCTAAAATCTATCGTTTTGAATATGTGATGTTAAACAATCAGTTTGCAATGATATATTCATGTATGTGGAACATATGCATGTAGGGAAATCCTTTTTCTCTTGGCTCTCTTATGTTTCCGATTGAGGTTAAGAACATCCAGTTTGCAAAACATGGGAGCGAATCTGGTGTTTATGATACTGAAGGAAGGTACGTAAATCAAAATAAATAAATTTAACAAATTACTTTATTCATATCTAATTCTGAAATTATATATTTGTATGTGTTTGTCTATGTATATCATGTATGCATGCATAGGTTTGTCCCCTCGAAGTTCGAACAAATCTTCACCAAATTCGCTCGTACTTATCCCAATGCCTTGACATCAGATGAACTATCGGCAATGCTCAAGGCTAACAGGGAACCCCAAGATTACAAAGGATGGTAAATCGATTACGTATTCATATTTTATATGTATGTATGTATGTATTAGTAATAGTCTACAAATTAAAGGGAAAAAATTGAACTGGCAGGATTGCTAGCTGGACGGAGTGGAAGACTTTATACTTTTTGTGCAAAGACGATCAAGGATTGTTGAGGAAGGAGACGATTAGAGCTGTTTATGATGGAAGCTTGTTTGAACAAATGGAGAGGGAGAGATCAGCGGCTGCCAAAAAGAAAGAGTAGTTATTAAACTACCATGCTTTTTTACATTGATTAATTAGCAAAAGGGTTTAGTTAATTTGTGGTTTTTATTATGAATTCTTTGGTGCATTTTGGTTTGAGGATTGGAATCTGTATATTAATCGTTTGAAGCAATCACGTTCGATTCATGGTTAGATGTGAGTATATGAAAAGTGATTCATGGTAATAAAATTCACTCATGTTTCGATCCGACGTGAATAATTGTTTTTTCATGTCTGAATAAACATTACTAATTAAGAAGCAGAATTTGAGCGGAGAATATGATAACACATATATATACAGAGAGTTAAAGTTTACATTTTACATCACATAATTGCAAGAGGGAGGGCAGGTGGTGGTGTCCCAATCAAACTGGGAAGCCCCAATTCGCACTAAGAAAGAAAGATGGAAAACAAATTACAATTTTTATGGTGTATTGCCCAACACTTGGCTATCAAAACAGGGGCATTAGGAGCTGTTTCTACCATGGAATGCGAATTTTAGGACAAATCTGTTTGAGAATCGATTGCAAAACATGGTTTCAACGTACCACAGGGGCAGTCACTTGTGCTGCTGCCAAGATACGATGGGAGACCAGACAGAGAAAGCAACAATGACACTCCAAACACGGCGCAGAATGGTCCAGTGGAGTTTGCGACTGATGCTCTCATGTTTCACTCTGTTCTTTAATGTTTCATCCTCTTCTCTTCCAATGATGCTTCTTCTTCCTGTGTTTAACAGGGTGCTTGACAACCTTCTGCCCCTGTATCACCTTCGGCAGGAGTGCTACAATTAAAAGCAAAGGACTCAACATGAAATTAGGTTAATTAATCCAAATATTTGGTCTTCATATATAAAATACAAATTGTTCATTTATTTATGCTTCGTGAGGGCATAGGTCTACACAACATTTATTGGTAAGCAATTGCCTGACACGTTGCCTTCATCCCAACTTTCTCAATGCATGCAAACTATAATTGAATTTACGTCGGCCAAAACTACAATAGATTAAAATGATAGTTGTTGGTGGAAGGTAGGTTTAACGTAGGTGGGTGAAGGGTTGGCGAGCTACAAGGCTTAATTAACTCAAACAACAATGCTGAAAAAGGAGTCGGATTGCTTCTCGGGGATGCGCTTTTATACTTAATGTAAGGCTTTCACAAAAGTTATGAATCTTCTATCCATTCTTTACAATAACTGGTTTTAATATCAAAGTGATCACATTATTTTTAGTATGTAAAATGTCTTTTATGGATACAATTTTAAGGTTGAGCTGTGCTCAATTTTTAATATTAAACCAATATTTTTTATGTTTAAAAAATGTGTCTGGGTTAAATAATTTTTATAAACGTTTTTCAAAAGGTATAGTGTTAAATTAGCTCCAATATTATCAAAATAGTTATTTTCGACTCTAATCTTTTTTTTAAATACTTTGGATCTTTACATTTCATTTTAAGTTAAAAAACACGTCATTTTTTTATTAAATAATCATTTTGGCTCGTATCATTTTGACCGACTTAGGAAAAGATAAATATTGAGGCACCAAATTTAATGATATTCCAAAAAAATAACATATGGGGTGGAATCATGGTTTTCAGAACCGGATCGGTTAGCAAACCGGTCATGCTACCGGTTCACTGGTTCAACCGGTCGAACCGGTCCGATCGGTTGGAAGAACTGGACGACGTCATAATTATTTAAAAAATTAAATAAATATACCAAAAATATTTAATAAAAAATAATTTTTTATATCACAAGTCATATTCAAGCAAGTCTAACATATATAAGTTAAAAACCATAAAATCAAGTGAAACAAAATGATCAAATACTACAACATAATATTTAAGGTAAAACATATAGATATAAATATACTAATTAACATAATTAAAAAAAATAAATTTGAGGCTAAAAAAATCATAACAAAATGATATTTGTTTGGTTTAATTTTTTTTTAAAAGAATATCACATGGCTAAGAAACATAGAAGAGCATCCCAAAAGTCTAAAAAGTAAAAATATGAGAACAAAACAATCTCACATGGCTAAGAAACATAGAAGAGCATCACAACTAACTTCTATAAATAATAGAGGTAATTTGGCATTCAAAATCATGGAGCCTTTTGGTGAGCATTAAGTAAACTATTCTTTCACTTCAATTAAGCTCAAATTTTAGGCTTCAATCGAGCTTCTAATTTTTTTTTGAGTTCAAGCCTTTTTGAGTTTAAGTTTTAATATTATATTTCGAGTTTAAGTTGAACTTGATAATTTTTGCGTGAGTTTGAGTCGAGTTGAGCTTATTTTTAAAGTTTTCAAGTTCGAGTCGAGCTCGGCAATACTCGAGTTCGACTTGGCTCGTTTAACAAACAACATCGTTTGGTTTAATTTTTTTTTAAACAAACAAAATTTCCAGTTTTTTCCGATTTTCAGCTGGTTCGGTTCGAACGGTTTAGCGGTTCTGACAGATTCACTAATAACAGTTTAACCGGTATAAATTAAATCGGACTATACAACGATTTTTAATTGAACCAATTGGTCCGATCCGATTTTCAAAACATTGAGTGGAATCCAGTAAAAGTCGATGCTAACAAAAGCTTTGTCAGGCAACTAATGCTTTAGCACAAATTAGGTAAGGAGTAAGGACCACGCACCAAAATTCAGATTCTCAAACACTCAATCTTTTAATATTTAAATAAAATAAACATTGAATTTTTAAAAATGAACCGCCCAAATCATTTTTAAAATTTTAAAAACTTTTCCCAAACTTTGCCTTTCCCTCTCATTCAAAAAATTCTGAAATTATATTTTTTTAGCTTAATCACCGGTTATTAATTATTAAATTTATTTAAAAAGAGTAAGTACATAACTTCCTCATAATAATATTTAAATTAGATTAATAAAAGGAATAACGTATTTGTGATGAGAGTGTAAAGAAAAGAGCCTTAAATAAATCACAAAATTACATGCAAATTACAGAACCGCACTAAATTCTAAAGTTTCCAATACACACATTACAGCACTTCGCTCTAATACTAACTAAAAATTAATTAAAAGACCTAAAACGTCAATTAGTAGAGAACTAATTGACACCTAAAAAATTTTAGTTAAAAAAGAGCCTAGCTAACGCCGGCAAGTGGAGGAGCAGTGATGATATCGGACCTTTTTTTTCGTTGGTTAAACTTCACAACTTTACTGAGAAACTACCGATGGTTGCACTTTCGGCGGTCGGCCGCGGCCTCGCTTAACACCGGGAGGCGGAGGAGGAGCAGTGACGGTGGCGGCAGTCTTAGCTTTCTTAGGTGGACGTCCACGAGGTCTTCCAGTGCTGACGGGGGTTTTTGGTTTGGGGGGAGCTGACAAATCCTTGGGTTTCGGCGGACGACCGCGTGGCCTAGGTGGTGACACGACGGAACCGGTCGGAAGAGGGGACTTGGGTTTCGGTGGACGTCCACGTCCACGCTTGGGTGGGGCATTGAGATCGGGTTTCATGTAATTGTTGTTCGACATTACGAGTTCACCGCTCTGTTTCATCAGGTTGAGGTGGTGGGAAAGGAGAGTGGAGTGATTCTCCGGGAGATCAGAGTGAGTCAACTCGATGTGTTTCGTGATTGATGTCATGCTCGACCCGTCTTTCTCGTTCAACGCCTCGATGGCTTCCATAATCATCTACCCATAAAAAAATCAGAAAAAAAAAGAGAAAGGCTCAAACGAAAATCTCCATAACTAAAAAAAACAAAGAAAAAACAAGGAAATACAAACTACCTGAGGGTAGTCTGGAAGGGAAAGATTGTTGAGAAGCATGAAGGCCTTGAGTATGATTTGTTTCTTCAGTCGCCATCAAAACTATATTTTCCTTTAAAAATTTTAAATCCTTTTTATTTCCTGAGAGAATGACGAAGTGAGACTGTTGCTTTGTTGAATTTTGTTGTGAGAGTTTGGGATTTAAAAGGGAAAAGGCTTTGGGATCGAAGGGAAGAGGGGGAAGTAGAGGAACAAGAACAATGGGTTGGAGCTATAATCCAACGGCTAGGGATAGCTAGTTCGGTGTTTTATCCAACGGTTTTTGTTTATTTCATACGAGATTACGAGGATTGATGATGTGTTCCTGAATTTTGGATTACTTAATTTCATTTTTATCTTGGGTAAATTACATAAATGGTCCCTGACTATAGGGTACTACTTTATTGAGTCCCTCAACTATTAAAATTTATAAAATGATCACTTGACTATTCGTTATATTCCAAAGTCGTCTGAGTTGGACGTTAATATGTTGACTGAGATATGATAATCGTTTGAGATTTTGAGATAATATTTTATCATATCTCACTTAGCAGATTAACATCCACCTTAAAATGTTGTTAATTTTTTAACGGAAATGACTAGTTTGAGATATAATGAATAGTTGATAGTTATTTTATAACTTTTAATAGTCAATGGACTCAACAAGATAACTCCCTATAGTCGAGAGACCATTTTATTACTTTTAATAGTTGAAAGACTTGACAAAACAATATCATATAATCAACGATTATTTGTATATTTTTCATCTTTTGTTTATTTCCATCCTTTGATTCATGATTACAATAAATTAAAGGTAAAGGATAAAAATTGTCATTAAACTATTTAAAATGAAAACCTTTTACTTTAAAGTTATTAAATATTTATTATTTTTTAATTTTATTTTAAAATAGACATTATGTGTAGTATTAACTGGCATATCTTTAATTGAAATTATGTAATGCATTAAATTGATAGATAACATTTTATTTAACCCTCAATTATATTTATATTTTATTTTGATATTTTTAAAATTAAAATAGTCAAATAAATATAAAAATTATATTTTTTTAGAATTATAATTTTATTAATTTTAAATAATAACTTTTATTATATAAATATATAGTAATAGTTAGATTAGGATAATTTCACCTGGAAAAAAATAAATTATATAAATAATCACTGATATTAAGGAATTTTTTTTGTATTGATGCTTGTTGTATATTGGGAATATTTTCCAAAAACATCTTCGCACCTCTGTCTACTATCTATTTAGAGTCTTGTATTCCTATATGACGAGAGCCTTATAATTAGGCTTATGACAACCCCGTATAATTTATCAGAGATAAATTTGATAACTATCATTATTATAGGTCTGACATT